GAAGATTACAGAGGAGCGAGGCCCGACTTCAAAGCCAATAAGTTTAACCGTTACGCGACCGCGAAATTCTTTTGATGTACATCAAAGGATTTAACTAATCTTTTCGTCTCTTTCACAAGGCGGTTTACATTGATCCTTCGGTTTCGCTATGACAGCAGAGAGCGAAAATGAGCGTTACCCCTGGATATCGCGGATGTAGTTAAAATTGCTCGAAGAAACAAATAACAAAAGACCTTTTTTTCTACACAATCCATAGAAGTACAGTGTTTGCTAATAAGTCGATCTCTACTGTTTTTGTCCTGAATAATGATTTTATCTATCAAGGTTGGATGCCGTACAATGACACCTGTTTTGACGAAAACGAAGAAGTGGACTACTCATTTAAGTACTTTTCGTCAAAGGATACGAAAGCGTTCCCGACCAATGGAGTGCACGAAATGTATGGACCAGGGGGGTATTATATGGATATCGGACCTAAGCAATCAGCCGCAGTCAGGTCTGTCGCCGAACTGAAGACGTATGATTGGATAGACCAGAACACCAGAGCAGTCTTTGTCTCGTTCATGGCGTATAACGGAAACACAAACCTTTTCAGTTACGTCAATGTCATATTCGAGTTACCTCCCCTTACCGGAATTACAACAACGTTCAATATTGTTTCTGCGAATTTGTACCCCTACAATACGGTATGGGATTACATCATCCTCTTAGCTCAGTTTGTTTTCATCGTTGTCGTCATCGTCAGACTGGTCCTACTCATCAAGGACGCGGTTGTGTCCAGGGGGAGAGTACTCCGTACACTAACGTTCTATGCTACAATGTTTGATATAATGATATGTATCGGTGCCATCGTGTGTTACGTCATCAGACTGGACGGCACCATTTCCGCAATCAACAAGATAGCTAAGAACCCAAGTAAGTACATCAACTCGATTACGATACTTAACATTTGAAGTTTAGTATACGTTGCATACAAGTACGTTTATTCGAAGAACATCGTCGCCTATACTTACATAGTCCCGGGCGTTTGCGTTTGGAGTTTGCGTTGACGTTTGGTGTTGCCCTGTTCAATTTTTGGTGTAAATGACGTTAACATTCGTTTATATAACCTTCAGTATTTGTACTAGGATGATGATATGTGGCATGGGTATTTCTAAGGGGTCTAACATTGATCTATTTTGGTCAATTCAAACAAAACTGATACGTTTTGAACTTGACTAGTTTTGCAAGCATACATAGGTTTAAGCTTTGGCAGTAAGTGTTGATATTCAATCATGATGCTTTCATTCGTACTAAGATGTTTTTTAATAGCAATAGAGGGATCCAGCATTGATGAAAGTTACTTATGTCAAAATATCCATGTTACGTTCAGTAACAATCAATATTTGTATTTGTGTTTTTTGGCAAGGATGTCATATAAACTTATATTATTGTACAAAATAAAACCAGCCTAATTTTATCAATATATACATAGCCTGTTTAATCCTCAATATGATAATTTAAGACTGAAAAATAGCGTAATAATTATATTAAATATGCTTAACTAGTATACTTTTACACTAGACATCAGGGCCCGGTTGCTCGAAAGGTTAGTAAACGTTAATCAATGGTTAGGGAAAATATCAAATCAGTTAACTGCTATTGATTGTTTAAGACAAATAGTATCGATGTGTATAAGGACTAAATTTGCTGTGTACGTTTTTGCTTCTTATCGGCACTACTTTTCACTTTTCACTAACCCTTAGGGGCGTAAATGGTCATTGATGGCCTTGTCGGGGATTTTAAATTAGTTGATATATTCGTAATCTGGAATAAGTATATTACACAAATATGAAATTTCAAATTCATACGACAAATGGTTTACGAGATATGGCATTACACAGAGAGACACTATCTCGCATTTTCATAATAAAATGCGTGAATAACGCCTGTTGTACGTTTTTTGGTTGAAAATTGGCCATTTTGAAGGAAATTAACTTAACACTCTTAAAATTTTGAAAGCATACGCATGCAACAAACAAATAAATAGCGTAGGTTTTCATTTCTGCATGCTAATTGTTCAAAAATGTTATTCAGTGTATTTTGGCTATTTCTGCACAGAAACGCAATTTTGATGCTATGGTAGGGCATCTACGCATGCACATCGGGAAAAATCTGCACAAAGACCAAATTTGGCGTTTATAGCAGAAATTGATAAATAAATCATCCAAGTTAAACATTTAACTTTTTATGAGGCCTAAAATGGCCCATTACGCCTAAAGTCCTTGAACCAACCTTTGATAAACTGAGGCCTGATCTCAAAATTCAGTTGATTAGAAACTGAAACTGAAATTAAGTTGAAAAACTAACATTTTGTTTCGACATCCGAAAGAAAAGCAAAGTAAAAATGGTAGTTCAATTCAACCCTACTTTATTTACTGTAAACATTCTACAATTAAGTTGATATATATTTTTTGTTGTAGGACAACATGTTTCCTTTGAGCAAGCAAGTACTATGGATTTACTCTTCATGGCTTTTATTGGTTTCGCTTGCTTTAACGCGACCATCAACCTTCTGTCACCATTAACGTTCAACTATCACTTTCATTTGTTTAAGGTGTTTCTCGACCTCTCTAGATACACGTTGTTCTCGCTATTTCTCGTACAGGCCGTGTTGTTTGTTGCCTTTACGTCTATTGTGTACATGTTCTTCCACATGGACAAATGGGAACTGCGGAACTTCTACAGTACGGTACTCTTCCTCTACAGAGTGGCTTTGGGCATGTTCAAAGTCGGTCACAGTATCAAGTTTATAGATTACGGCAGTGTCATTGTATTCACTCTTTTTGGGTTCTCAGTGAGTATTGTGGTGATGAACGTATGCATAAGTGTACTGAACGTCGGGTTGAGCAACGCACGTATTGCCGTCAAGAAGAACAAGAGGCATAGATTTGATTCAGAACTGAACGACTTCTTCTTTTGGAAAGTGAATAGCGTCTTGCGAGTGTTGACGTTTCGCAGCGGTAAAAAGAATACTGTGATGAGTAAATACGCCGCGCCTGGTAAGTTTATTTTTTATACTTTTTCCTGTAAAATATCAGAATGTTAAACCGGTGAAATGTATAAGAAAGATCTCTGCGGTAAAGACATAAGAAAAATGTGATATCCCAACAAGGGATTATATTAGGTCCTGTATCGATGTATCTATCAACTGCATTCCAAACCGCAGATAATGTTTTCAGCTGAAGTTGTAACGACGGTAGAAAAATGGTAGTTTCTGTACATCAAAGGTATTAATACAACTTACATAATTGATAATATTTTGGTAGGCAAATCATAAATGATAATAGCAGAAAACTACTTCAAATAAATAAATATATAAAAATACTCTACCTAACCACGCGCTCCATTCATGTTGTAATATCTTCGTCATTGCACATTAAATATTGTAATATACAGAAAATCTTATGGTCGTCCCATTGAATATAATTTATATTTCACTTGTATGGTAAGTTATATTAACATTTTCATTCTTGCTTCGCAATCATGAAAGATGATTTTATTATGACTGCCATACTTGTGAATTTGTACTCAACACGAAATAAATAAATTAATTCTATATATCCCACACTGTTGTTGATTACAGTTTATTTTAAGGGTTTTTTATTTATTTTTTATGTTATTTATTTACTAATCATATCTGCCGAAAATTTGTTAACGATCTCAACAAATCTGTGGTTGATAGACTGATAAAGAGGAGAGAGAAATATATATTATATATATATTA